TTCTGTGATTTAGGCGTGATTATGGTAGTGCTGGGTTAACGGTAGGACTCGTTGATCTTGAGGGTCTCTTCCCACCTTCATGGTTCTGTGATTTTCCGTGGGTCTCTGGAGCTTGTGACCTCGTGAGATGTTCCCAGACAATTCTCACCTTGCAGACTGACAGGGAGGTTTGGTTTCTATGGATAGAAACCCATCACTTCTGGCTTAAAACACCCCAAATCTTCAGGGCACGGGGCAGGTCAGACCTCCCTCCTCAGGACGGGAGCCTCCACACTCACTGTGTCCTTGTCCCGCTGCCCAGGTGACACTGGACTGTCCAGGAAATGAGGAGATCCCCAGGGTTGACAAGCTGGTGGAGAAGATCCTGCACTGCAGCTGCCAGGCGTGTGGGAAGGAGCCAAGCCACGAAGGAGCCCTGTTCAACGTCTACCTGAACGCTGAGGAGAATATGCCTGCCGAGGGTCCTGGCCCCCACCACTACACCCACCACCAGCAGGAGGTGGAGGAACCTCCTGCCTCCAGCCACCACCACCATGAGGAGGAGGGCGAGGAGTGACCCGGCCTGTGCGGACTGTCCTGGCAGGGGGGTGTGAGAGGGAGAGGGTTTGGGGGGGGGGTGGAGTCTTTCCTGTCTAATTGCTGCCCTCACGCTTTGCTCCCCGACACCCCGGCGCTGGAAGAATGTTTCAAGGCACAGGCAGGGCTGGAGCTGCTGAGTGGGACACGAGGGCTCAGTGTTTTCTGATGCAAAACTACTTGCACATCATAGTAATAATATATTGAGAGGAGCGGGAGCATGGATGGGGCAGTTTGGCTGAGAGCAGGAGCTGAGTGGGGCTCCCAGGGCTGTCCACAGGTTCCAAAACTGTGTGGAGCCCTTCTGGGGTTTTGTCTTCTAATGGCTCCTGCCTAGGGTGGAGGAAGAAGGGATGCAGCCTCTCCACAATCCCACAGGAGATGCACATCTCTCCTGGGGTGGTGGGACCAGCAGCATCCCTTCTTCCTCCTCTCTCCCTCCCTGCCATATAGGCTCAGCGTGGACACGCTGTTCCTCCTGGCACCTGCTGGATCTGGACTAATCTAACCCTAACACTTTGTATCAGGCAGCTCTTGGGGAGTGTTTTGCCCCAAGATGTGCCTCTGGGGCTGTGTGTGGGAGGTGACTGGGTACTGTGGTGGTGACAGCCCTTACCTTGCTGTCCCCAGGGCCACCACATGGCTCCTTGGGGATGAGGGACCTGGATCATGCCATGAGTGCTGAGGCTTCACATTTCATGGCTGCAGGGGAAAGCCAAGAGCCACGGGGAGTTTGGGTAGGAGCTAACCCTGTACCCCCTCTCCCTGCTGCACTTTTAATGGTGATGGAGGGAGAAGGGGGCCCAAGGGCCGGGATGTCCCTGTGCTGGCAGGGCTGGGGAGGCTCAGGGTGGGCCCTGTGCCTCTCCTGCTGCCTCTCTCTCTGTTGTATAATGCTGATTCTTTGGCGCTGTCCTGACAAGAGCTTCCAGAGCTTGTAATTGATGCCTCCCCCCCCCACTTTTGATGAGTTTTGTTTTGGTTTTGTTTTTTTTCTTAAATAAATTAGTTCTGACTTCCACTGCTCAGTGCTCTGATGCCTGTCTGGTTTTTGGCAGTGCTGACACCAGGACACCAGCCAGGACAGACAGGAGGGGCCAGGTCAGGGCAGAACCGTGGCTCCTGCAGCTTTCTGCTGCATTCCATTTGGGAGGAGGAGGGAGAGCTGCTGAAAGGAAAACTGACCCCAGATCTTCAACATGTGTTGTGCATGTGGGCATGGGGAGCTGCACGTCAGCTGTGGCTGAGGCACGGTGTCGCTGCAGCCGGGAGTTTTTCAGGCTGTCAGGTCCCACTTGTGTGGGAAGTGCGTGGGATCTGTGGGATCACACAACCTTCACCAGCTCTGTTGCCACTAGGTGACAGTCTTGATCCAGCGTGTTTCATCCAGATGTTCAGGGCCTCGGGGAGCTCTTCTGGAGCAGATGAAGGAGAACTTGGACATGGGCTGGACATCCCTCTGTGGGTGAGGAAGGGCTGGGTGCCTTGGCTGAAACCAGTGGGCTCTTTCCCAAAGGGGTTTGGATCAAGCATTCCCTGAGCACCCTCGCAAACCTCTGGTCCCACTGATGCCAGGCCAGTGTGGATGTGCCCTCAGAAACAATCAGTGATGCTCCTTGGTCTGAGTCTGACCTTGGGGAAGGTCTCATCATCTCCCAGAGGGGCCAGAGGCTGTGCTGTGCCAGCAGCCAGCTCTTATTGCCTCTCTTTGAGTGCAGCTCTTATTTCTTCCCTCCTTGAGTCCAGCTCTTATTGCCCCTTTTGTTGAGGCTCTGGAGGCTCTGCACAGGTTTGGAAAGCAGCTCTCTGAACTTTGGGAAGTGGGAGAGGGTTTGCATTAAGGCGGCAAATGCTACAGTGACAGGCTAAACAGGAAGGACCTGGCAGGGCTGGAGGTGTCCTGTGTGTTAACATAATGTTTTCATGCTGTGAAGTGTCTTCCCAAGGAAGAGCCAGGAAGAGGTGGAGAAACCTGTGGTGGTCACTGAGCACAATCATGTGACCTTTTACTAGTGTACAGTGGAAACAGGCTGGATTTAGCAGGGTGCTGTTCCTGTAAACTCCAGGAGCTGCAGTCCAAGGTGTTTGAAATGGGATGTCTCCACCTCCTTTCAACACAAGCTGAGCTTCAGCAAACGTAGGCAGTGATGGACTGTTGTGCAGATGAAAACACAAATCTTTTCAAGGTAGTTAGCCAGGCTCTGCCCAAAATCAAACTTAGGGACTATCCCAGTTAAAGGATGGAATGAGGCTGCTGCATTAATTCCTGGACTGCCTGGATGTCCTCACTGATGTCTCTCAGCATCCCAGTTTGACTCTCTGTCTCACCAGCCCTTTGTGTTTTGCCATGTTGACACTTGGGTGCCTGGTTTTGCTTTCCCTGCTAGTGGTACTGGAGAGCAGAGCCGGTGGAAGCCATGATCCCTGCAGATGTGTCTAGAAATGTAGCACAGGGAGAGAGCACAGACAGGCCAGGAGAGCTGCTGGCGTGGAGAAACTTTTGCAGGGATAATGGTAGGATTTGGACCTCATTTCAAGGCAGGTTTTTAAAAACCCATTTTGCTTCAATGAGTTCAGATTCACTTCCCCAGCAAGCACATCCAAACCAGGAGCAGAAAACCTCCCACTTGAGGAGGAAACACTCCTGAAAGGTTAGGCACAGGTTGCCCTGAGAAGCTGTGGTTGCCCCATCCCTGGGAGTGTCCAAGGCCAGGTTGGACAGGACTTGGAACAACCTGATGTAGTGAAAGGTGTACCTGCCCATGGAATGGGATGGGGTTTAAGGTCCCTTCCAACCCAAACCATTCTGTGATTCCAATCCCCTTCTCAGAAGCAAAAGCTCTGGAGGCAAACTGAGATGCTCCTAAAGTTGGGGTGCAGCCAGGTTGAGAAGGAAGCCTGGACTTGCCCTCTGGCATCACTTCCTCACTGAGCACCAGCATGGATCCAGCTGGGATAAATCTGTCCTGCTGCCTTCACTTATCCTGCCTGGGAATGCTGTTGCAGGGTGGGCTGAGGGTGGGGTTTCTCTCTTCTCCCAGCAACAGATGGGCTGAGGAAGTGAGGGTTTCCTGGTGCAAATGCTTTTCCAAAGAAATCTCCTGCTGCGATCAGAGTGTTGCGTGTGCTGCTCTGCCCTGGGATCCCTGCCAGGACACAGGGATGCAGAGGTGGCTGGGGAGGTTTGGCTGGGAGCATCCAAGGAGAGCGTCCTGGGCAAGCAGAAGGAGGGCAGAGCTTTTCTTGGTACCAGTGACAGCAACTGTTTCTCAGAGAGCACTTTGGCACAGGGTGTGTATGGGCTTTGTCTCTGTGCAGGGTGAGCCCTGCCTTGCATCTCCCCCATCCTTTCCTCAGACAGAGGTGGTTTCCAGGCCTGAAATGCTTGTTTAGCCACTGGGAAAAATATGACAAAGTTGTTGAAAAGGTGATAGAGAAGTAGGACTTGCTAAAGAGACTGATTTCTGTCCTTGAGTGGGTGACAGGGCGGCACAGACAGCACTGGGGTGCAGTGGGATGGGGTGAGGGGGTGTGTGTGATGCACAGCTGGCATTCCCCACACATCTGCAGCACAACTTCCCAAAGGAAGCATGTTGAGGAAAGCTTTGGTGGTGTCTTGGGGAGGGCAGCAGCTGGCAGTGCCTGGCCCTGTGAGCACAGGGGTGGGTGCCAGGGGCCCAACAGAGACACACATACGGCTCTGGTTTGTGCTGGAGCCAGTGCCCTCAGCTCTGGTCAACCCCCAACAGAAATCACAGATATTTGTTGGGAAAAGCCCACCTTTGAGCAGCTGGGTAATTAAAAAATCCCAATCAATCCCTTCCCAGCACCCCAAGGTGTTGGCTATGATGTGTGGAGGTGGTAGCACAGGATACTAATGGCACTTGGAGACTCAGGGGTGTTTCCTGATCTGGAGCCACCAGCAGGACCCACTGGGTCCTCTCGCATGTTGCCTTCCACTTGCCAAAGGGCAAGTTGCCGTGGATGCATGCAGGATTGTCCCTCAGACAAGGATCTGGGCTACCCAAGGTCAGCCCAACAAACCCTGAAGCAGAGGGGCCAGCCCTCTGGCTGTCCCAGCACCAGTGCAGCCTTTCCCCTTGGCTCTGCCCCTCCGTTCCTGGCTGCAGATTGTAGGAATGTCATCCAGTTTTGTGATGCCTCTACTTGCTTCCTGAGGGTTCATGTGCAGGTTTTGTTGATTTTTTTTTATTTATTTGGTTTTGCAAAATTTTGCTTTTTATTACCCAGTGTGGAAGATGGAGCCTGGCACTAGGAGCTCCTGATCAAGCAGAGGATGGAGCCTGGCACTTGGGCTTGGCCACTGACCTGCTGGCCTAGCTGCCAGGTGAACATGGGGGCTCCACTGCTGGCACAGACGGCAGGAATGGCAGGGATGGCAAGGAAAGCAGAGAACAGGACTGTTTCTTTAAGGCGAAAAAGAGAACTCTCAGGCTGGCACTTCGTGTAGTTTAGCCCAGATCCCTGTTTTAATTAGCGTTTCATTTCATCTCCTCCTCTCCCTCTCCAGCCCCACCTCCTTGGAATCAGCATTTCTGCATCCTTTCCTGTGCATTGCAGAGCAGCAGGTGGAAGTCTGGCTGGCACCTGCACACACTCACACACACACCCTGCAGGCTGGACGCACCTCTGCCGCGGGAGAGAACCCTTCCCACACTCCGGATCTTCCTCCTGCCGAGCGAGCTGGGCTGGGAGCATCCCAGTCCTCGCCTCAAGCTGCTCTGCCTCCCCACGCCGGCTCTGGCTGCAGCACCAGCAGCACCCGGGCACGGAGGACCTCGGGAGGCCCCGGGGAGAGAGCTCTGCAGGGAGCCAAGCCCAGCTGGGGGGTAAGAGCTGAGCCTCGGGGGGCTGGAGCATCCCCAGTATCTGGGGCGTCCTGGAGTCCAGATCATCCCCAACATCCAGGGTATCCTGGGTACGGAGCATCCCTGGCATCTGGAGTATCCTGGGATCCAGAGCATCCCCAGCATCTGAAGTATCCTGAGTGCAGAGCATCTGGAGTATCCAGAGCATCCCAGGGGCTTATTATTCCCTGGTCCAGCGCATCCAGAGCATCAGAGAATCCATAACATCCTGCCATCCCTGGCATCTCGAGTATCCTGCCATCCAGCAGATCCCCAGCATCCAGCAGCAGCATCCAGGGACATCCCAGAGCAGGGGCATTTGCAGGGACAAGGCACTGCCTGGCTGTGAGTAACAGGGAGGGAACCTTGCTTCTGCTGATCGGCTCCTGGGAATGTCACTCTGCCCTGAGCACCAGTGAAGAGAGAGAGCAGGGGAAGAGAGGGAGACGACGAGGAGGAGAGGGAGAGGAGGAGGAGGAAAGGAGAGGAGAGAGGAGGACAGACACAGAGCAGACAGATGGTCGTTCTTCCCCTGGATCCAGCTCTGGTGATGATCACGTAGCACAGGTCACGCCAGAGAAGGTCCCCCCAACCCCAAAGCTCCCATGGAGGGTGACCTGGGGGCCCCCAATTCCAGCATGCTGGGGGAGCACTCGCTGCTCGTGGGGAGCAGCTGGGTGGCTGCTTTCCTGTGCTTCATCATCCTGCTGACCACGGCAGGGAACTTCCTCCTCATCCTCCTCATCATCACTCAGCGCTCCCTCCGCAACACCTCCAACTACTTCCTGGTGTCCCTGTTCATGTCAGACCTTATGGTGGGGCTGGTGGTGATGCCCCCAGCCACGCTCAACCAGCTCTATGGGCGCTGGGTGCTGCGGGGGGACTTCTGCTCCCTCTGGGCCTCCTTCGACGTCATGTGCTGCAGTGCCTCTATCCTCAACCTCTGCATCATCAGCCTGGACCGGTACCTGCTCATCATCTCCCCGCTCAAGTACAAGATGCGCATGACCTCCTGCAGGGCCCTCTGGCTCGTCCTGGCCACCTGGACCGTGGCTGCGCTGGCCTCCTTCCTGCCCATCAAGATGGGATGGCACGAGCTGGAGTTCGAGGAGCTCTCCCTGAACGTCACCTCGTGGGGGGACGAAGACCAGTGCCGGCTGGTGGTCAGTTTGCCGTATGCCCTGGTCGCCTCTTGCCTCACCTTCTTCCTCCCGTCTGCTGCCATCTCCTTCACCTACTGCCGCATCCTCCTGGCTGCCCGCAAGCAGGCGGTGCAGGTGGCTTCCCTCACCTCCAACATGGCCACCACCACCACTGCTGATGACACCATGCCACAGGTAAGGTGTCCGCAGGGACCTTGTTTTTTGCAGACCTTGTTTTTTGCACAGTTTGGGTGCCTGGGGTGTTTCTGCCTTCTGGACAACCTTAGAGCCAGAGCTGGCTTTGACAACTAGACCACAGGGAGGGAGATTTTGGGCAACATCCACCTTGCTGACGCCCTCTGAAGTGCCCTGTGTCTGTCCCACTAATGAAGAGCTGCTCTGGAGCACACAAACAGCATGAGCAGAAGCAGAGAAATTATAAGATTCAGGCAAAAATGCTCAGCGATGCAAAATAAAGGCACTTTAGCCCCCCTCTTGGCTGGCATCATCCCTGAGGGTTTTAATCTTTGGTCTGATTTTCCACTCGTAAATCTTGGCCGTGGTGGGTGTGAGACATATGGGGGAGAAGGATTTCAATAGCAAATGCCAAATTCTGGAGAGCATCTTATTTTGAACAGAAGCTTCTATTTTTGTTACCTGGTTAACGGGAACTGCCAAACAACTCCTTGTGCAATCACTGGTTTCATGTGTGGGTTTTATAACCAAAACGTGGCTGCACTTGTTTGTATTTCTTCAGGAGAAGGTAATTGCCACTAAATCTAACAGCTCTAATTCCCTGTAATAGGCTTTATTGACCACATATCCTACAGGGAAAAGGCAAACTTAATTGTCTTTAAATACCTTGATTTAGTTTGTTCACTCTAAAAGCAGACACAGGACTCTGCCCAGCTCTCCCACATGTGATAAAATGCACCAAACGGTCAAAAGGAAAAGGACAATCAAAGAATAAACAGACAATATCATAAAGTGTTTATTTTCTCCCTGGATATCAGGTTTTTGGACCCCACAAACACACTCAGGGGATCAGGGGATGCTCAGGGGCTTTGTCATGTTGTGGAAAAACAGCATCTGCCACCTGTCTTTCAGCCAAGGCAAGTGGCCCAAAAGGTTTCTTGGAGCCCCAAATTAGCTGAAAACAAGGTGTCAGTCAGGGAACCCTCAGATTTCATCTTTTAACCAGATTTTTGCTGTCTTTTTGGGCAGGAAGCTGAGTGGCAAAGGAGCATTGTTTGATTACAGTGGAGGGCTTAGATAATCAGTTCATTTTAGATTGCGGGGGGGGGAGGGAGGGCTGAGTTATGGTGTTTGTAGGCTGAAATGTTTCACATCCTGCTTTTATAAATGTAGTTAGTTTGTTGCTGTAATGAGCAGCTGGAGCTGCCTCTTTAGGGCTTTGTCTTCACCAAAACATGAGCTGGGTTTTTCTATACAGAACAGCCTAGTGAGAAACTCCTATTTTACAGTAAAAAAAATAAGGTAATGTTGAGGGTTTCTATTGTTTCCTCTCCCTAATTTGCAGTTCAGGGCCTGTGGTGCATGCCCTGCTCCTGTCTCTTGGAGAAGGGAATTAATGGCAGGGTTTTTTCAGGATTTGGAGCACCTAACCTCACTTTTCTTGGGCAGAGGCTGGCACTGGTGCTGGCAACTCCAGTCTGGGGAGGCTCATCACCATTCCCTGTCTCCTGCTACAGATTCCCTGTGTCCCAAGCCAGCCCATGGCCGGCAGTGAAAGCAGGAGGTTCACCAACAAGCACAGCAAGAAGGCACTGAAGGCCAGTCTGACCCTGGGCATTCTCCTGGGCATGTTCTTTGTGGCCTGGCTCCCCTTCTTCATTACCAATGTGATGCAGGTAAGAACCTGTGGGGGTTTTGTGTTGGGTTTTCAAAAGCTTTTCACTCGAGATCCAGCTGGGTTCAATCTGAAGGTCTCGCTGGAACACCTCTGGGAGCAAAGATGCAACTTCCCCAGGGAGCAACAGCAAGGAAAAAACCTTCAAAAGGGATTTGGAGGTTTCCTTTGAAAGGGGAATGTTGATGTGCCTGGGAAACTGCTCTGGATCGGGGCTGAGGTGGGAGACCCTGCTAATCCCTGCTGTGCCCCCCCCAGGCTGTCTGTGGCTGTGTCCCAGCCGGATTCTTCGACGTGCTCACCTGGCTGGGATACTGCAACAGCACCATGAACCCCATCATCTACCCGCTCTTCATGAGGGACTTCAAGAGAGCCATGGGCAAATTCCTGCCCTGCTGCCGGCGCTGGGGGGAGCCCCGGCCCAGCGCCATATCCTTCTCCATGAGGAACTCCAACAGCGGAGCCCATGCCGCTACGTCCCTCAAGAACATCCTCACCTTGCAGGCTGAGACTGACTCAGTTGACTCTGGGGGGCTGGGGAATGATCCCAACCTGCTGCCAGCCCCCCTGACCTCCCACGCCCCCTCTATCAGCCTGTGGGACGCAGAGCCCCCGGATGCCGAGCCGCAGGTCGGGCATCTCAGCACCCCCGTGGCCTGAGTGGGGTCACAGAGCTCCATGTGCTGGGAAGGATCCCTCAGCCCCACACAAACAGCCCATGTGCTGCTGCTCCAATTCCCTCTTCCAGTGCATCATGCAGCTTGTGGAGGGCACTGCTGTGGGTAGGTTCAGCCACGTGTTACTGCTGAATTGACCTGCATTGTTTCTCTCTCTTCCATCCCTCCTTTGCTCACTGGCACTAGTCCCTCACCCTTCTCGTGGCCTTTGGACAACACTCTCAGGCACGTGGTGGGATTCTTGGGGTATCCCAAGGGGGCCAGGATTCGATGATCCTTGTGGGTCCCTTCCAACTCAGCATATTTTGTGATTCTGTGATTCTAAGATTCTTTCCATCTCTGGTTAGTTTGAACCTTGGATTCCAGATCATCTGTCCCCCTAAACTTAAACCAAGGCTTGGTTTTCAGTTTTCACACATGGATCACCTCCATTTCACCTACTGCACTGAGAGGAGTGATGGAAACACATCCTATGACTCATGGATAAGAGGTTTGGAGCTGCTTCAGCCCATGGAACATCACGTCTTCTTGGAGCTGCGTTTCCTCTCCTGACTTGGAGCATGTCTGTCTCAGTTTCCTGTTAAGCAGTGAGTTATAGCCCAGTGAAACCATCGTGTTTAATCATGGAGAGCTGCACTGTGGGGGTTCAATTGGGTGCAGAATGTCCAACACTGATTTTTGGATGTTCTGTGGAGGTGTGGGGATGCAACTCGTCATGGCTTTGTGGGTTGTGTGACAGTAGTAATGGGATCAGTGCCTCTTACAGCTCCATCCTACAGCTTCCCATTCTTGGCACAGGACCACCACACTTCTCTCTGACAATCCGTTAATTTTTAGATGATGCAATTAGAAAATACACTCTCACCCCCTTTCAAATAGGAATCTAAAGAAATACTGTCTTTTAAATGACAATTCCAGGCCACCTCCACCCAGCCCACCCCCACCATAGCCATAAGCAGAGAGAACAGTGAGTAATGTGGCAAGTGGGCTCTTAAAAAAATCAATAAAACAAATGATTTTAGTAAATTCTTCCTCAAGTGCCTTTGGGCTGCAGAGCTGGGCTGACAGTTGGCTGCTGTGCCCTCCCTGAACCCCTCCCCTCCAAGCCTTCTGCCTAATTCTCAGCTCCCATTAACGGGTTTGACTGTGCTCTTGGAACTCACCAGTATCCAAACAGACACAGAGCATCCCCTGGATATGGAATGCTGGAAGAAACAGCCACGCTCCAAGCAAATCTCACTAGTTTTCTTTCCATGTTGCCCATGGATGTTCCAGAACTGAACAAGAGTTTTTATGACCAACTTGACATTTACTTGGTACTTTGTACCCCCTGGGAGCCAGCACTGGCCCAACAGTCAGGGATGAGCGACTGGGACACACTGAGGGTTCATCAGGTTCAAACCTCAAACTGTTCAATACATTTTCCCCTGGATGTGGGGACAGAGAGCCTGGGGCTGGTGTCAAGCATAGAGGTGTCAAGCATCTTCCCACAAAACAGTTTTATATAAAGCCACACTTTGACTACAACTCCTGTTAAAAAGGAGCAGGAAAATGCACGATGGAGTCTGGAAATCCGTTAGGTACTAAATTAGCCTTGGGAGATGGACAGAGAGAGAGAGAGAGAGAGAGAGAGAGAGAGAGAGAGAGAGAGAGAGAGAGA